GCAGAGCTTGTGGCTTGTGGTAGGAGCACTGAAGGAGAGGACAGAAAACATGGGTGTTAAATAGGAGCTGGGAGCAGAAGGGGGCAGCAGGGAAGGAGACTGGGCCAGGGAGAAGCTCAGAAGGAGGAGAGGAGGGTGGAAGAGGAGGGGAGCAAAGCTCAAGGGCTCTGCCAGCGATGAAACGGAAAAAGAAATTGCTGTGCAGCATTTTCAGCCCAGAACAGAGGGAGCTGCATGGGCTCCTCGAGCTGCCTGAGTGCATTTTGAACAACAAAACCAACAGGCTCTGACAGGGCCAGGAGACCCAGGCGGGCATGGAGGGGGAACAGAGAGAGGGGCTGCAGGCCCGGGGGAGGCAGGGTCCCACAGGCAGGGCACACTCCTGCCCAGCCACATCCAGAGGGGCACTGCCCTTGCTGCTGGTGCACCACCCCTTTGGCAGACTGATCGGGGGTTATGTAACCCTTCCCGACTGCTCTTTCTTCTGGACCAAGTGGGGTTGCTGCTCCAGCTCCCTGCAAAGGAACAGCCCGAGCAGCCTTTCCCCCAGCTGCCCAGAGGGACACAGCCAGCCCCAGCCTCTGAGACAGCTGAGCAGCAGGTCCTGCCCCACTGCCACCCCAGGGGAGCTGTGCTGGCAGAGCTGGCACCCAGGGCATGGCACCAAGCCCCACTGGGAGGCTGCAGGCCCTTGGCTGGGGAAGGAGGTGGTTGGATCATGGGTTCTTCTTGCAGGGAGCAACTGGTGGATGAAGCCTGGAGCACCCACTCACACGTGGGAGCAGATACAGGATAACACACTGCACCAGTGCTTTATGCACCTAACTCAAAATAAGCTTTCTTTTTAAAAAACATATCTGAGACGAATGATTTTTCTTCTTTTTTTTTGTTATTATTTTGAAGTTATAAATTACTGAAAGACTTCTCACTACTCTCCCAAATCATTCTCAGGCAAAGAAAAGGCAGTTCTACCTTCAACAGTGCTTTGTAACAAAATGAGTCAGGTTCATTTTGCTCATGATTTGCCCTTGGCTCCCTTTGTCCATGTCTTAAACAACATCCTGGCTTGCTCTGATTAGCAGTGTCTCCTCGGAGGCAGAGGAGGCCCTGCAAGAGCTGGAGGTATTGCAGGTCAAGATTAAAGTGCTCTGCATGCCATTCACTGTCAAAACTATAACTGGCTTAACTCAGTGCAATTAGATGGCTCAGAGGTTATGGAGTAACGGCAGCAGTGTTTCAGTGCCGCTGATTAAAGCACAGCCCTGGCATTAAGGGATGGGATTAAAAGGTGGTGTCAGGGCTGAGACCTGGCAGAGGAGCTCAGCAGGCAGGGTTAAATCCACAGCTTCTTCTGGGGTTGGACACCTCAGGGCCTGGAAGAGGTCTCTTAAGTATCAGCTGAGCCAGCTCAGCTTTTAGGTCTGGAATGCCATCTTGTGATGGCAGTGGGGAAGTGGAAATGGCCCCTCTGTGGAGTTGGAGGAGATGATGGAATTACAAAAAGGGTTGGGTCAGAAGAGACCATAAAAATAATTTTATTCCTCCCCCTGCCATGTCAGGGACACCTTACACTATCGCAGGCTGCGTCAAGCCTGGCCTTGGACAGTGCCAGGGATCCAGGGCCAGCCACAGCTGCTCTGGGCACCCTGTGCCAGGGCCTGCCCCCCCTGCCAGGGAACAATTCCTAATTCCCAATATCCCATCCATCCCTGCCCTCTGGCAGTGGGAGCCATTCCCTGCGTCCTGCCCCTCTATCCCTTGTCCCCAGTCCCTCTCCAGCTCTCCTGGAGCCCCTTTAGGCCCTGGCAGGGGCTCTGAGCTCTCCCTGGAGCCTTCTCCTCTCCAGGTGAGCACCCCCAGCTCTCCCAGCCTGACTCCATGGCAGAGGAACTCCAGCCCTGGGAGCAGCTCCGTGGCCTCTCTGGACTTGCTCCAACACCTGTAGGTCCTTCTGATGCTGCAGCAGCTCTGCAGGGGCATCTCACAACGGCAGAGTAGAGGGGGACAATCCCCCCCTCACCTGCTGCCCTTCCAACAGCTCCAGGTCCTTCTGATGCTGGAGCAGCACTGCAGGGGCATCTCACAACGGCAGAGTAGAGGGGGACAATCCCCCCCTCACCTGCTGCCCACTCCTCTGTGGGTGCAGCTCAGCACAGGGGAATTTCTGGGCTCCTGCTGTACACTGTTGGCCCATGTTTGCCGGGGTCGGCTGCCAGTGGTCTCTGCCCCAGCACGGGAAAAGGTCGCGCTTTTGAAGAAGGAGTCTGGACTCTTGCTTTTCGGTCTTCAGTTGAGTTTATTGTTCCTTATCTCCAAAGTTTTTCTGTCTGTCCAGCCGAGGTCTGATCAGTTGTTGGCCCATGTTCAGCTTTTAATCCATGATATCTTCCAAATCCTTCTCTGCTGGTCAATGAGCTCTTCTCCCAGTCTCATGTATGGGGTTGGCCTGACCTGGGTGCAGCACCTCAAAGCGTGCTGAATCTCCCAAGAGAGGAAAAGGCACCATCGAGGCCGTGGCTGCCCCACCACCTCTGCTGTGTGGGAGCCGAGCAAGGCTGGTGTCCCTCATAGGGCAGTGCAAGCACCAGCACCCACAAGGTGTCATCATCATGGTCCCCAGCCATGACAGACACCAGGGGGACAAAAGTTCTTCTCACCAGAGCCTGAACGTGCTTGGCTGTGGGTCTGGAGGTGACCACCATGGTAAATGATGATGTACACCCACAAATCTTTTCTTTCATAGGTTTACTGAATTTTCTTCCTCTTCCCACAGTACTGCTCTGTCTTTTGCTCTGGTGACTGACGGTGTGGCCAAATGATGTTGAGCCAAAATCTGATCCGTACAGAAGGATCACAGGACCAACCCTGCAGTGCCAGAGCTGGAGGGGAGCAGTGACATGGGGCAGGCAGCGAGCCCTGAGCATGGGTGTGTTCAAGACTGAGGTGACAGTAAAGGATCTCTCTTGCTGCCACAGAAGCTGCAGACATTGGCTACATGGGGGATGTCCCACCCCAGGCTTGGAGCACACGTATTTTGAAGCACTACAGCTCCATGCCAGTGCAGATCTCTTGAGTGGATGCACTGTGCCAGCAGACAGTGCTCATGTCCTGGTTTAACCCATCCTGCTAATTTATGGGAGCAAAATCACTCAGATGTGATTCCTCCTTTATGCTGCAACTGAGCATTCACAGGGCAGAGGTTACCCAGGCTTCTAGAGCCTGTTGAGTTGCTTTGAACACAAGCTGCAGGGCTGTGCTGGGATGCACACAGGGAGCTCAGGGGAGGCTGTGTCTAGACTAGAGGAACTCTCCTGAAGGCTAGCTGGGCTTTTGTTTTGTAGTAACTCGTATCTCTAATCTGGCTTGGAACAAAGCATCTCTGTCCTTTCAGACCCTGCCACAACACTTGCAGGAGAAAAGGAGGATCTGTTTAGTGGTCAGCAAGCCAAGATGAACAACAGGGACTGGCTGCAACTAATGCAGAGAGCACATTCCTATGACAGAAAAGGGCTTCACTCCCATGGCAGAGCTGCTGTGTTTCATCTGGTTTGATGCTTTTCACCCAAAGTTCACAAATGATGTGCAGGCCTTTGTTTGAGGCCCCCTCTGAGGCCAGCAAGCAGAGGAAAAGCTGTGCACACAGAGGGAATCTGTACTGGGAAGTGAGGGACTGGTCTTGGCACTGAGAGTTGCTGACTTCTGGTATTTGGCATTCAGGAAGCTTTTGAAGTATCTCCCCAATCCTGCTAAAAATGTCTTATTAAAAGAGACAAAGCATATTAATTTGGGCCCCATGCTGCGCCAATGAATTAAACAGGTCCAGACTGAAGCTGTGGCTTAGGGTCTCAGCAGAGTCATCATCCATCCCTGTGTGGGCACGTGCCCTCGGTCATGGGCAGCGAGACCCCCAGGAACAAGAGCATGAAATGCTCTGTGTCTGCCCCTACCTGTCTCTCCCCCAGAGAGCTTTTGCTGTGCTGCACGGGGCATAGCTGGGAAACCTGTTCCTCACCAGGTTCATCACTTACAGGGGGAAGCACCGAGCTCCTTCTGCTCAGCACCAGCCTCTCTCCCTGCACACAGTCATGTCCTGGGCACAACAAGCCCAGAGCTTCCCGGGACAAGGCAGGATCAGGCTGAGCTGAGGAGGAGCACCCCACATCCAGGAAGAATAGCTGCCTGCCTTGGGCTGAAAATAGAGCGTGAAACATTTGAAGACAGAGCTGGAGTGGATGATTGCCTGAGGCAAGGCACAGCTCCAGCTGAGTTCCTTGCTGAGCTCTGAGAGCATAAGGACATGAGGAGCATGTGGGAGGGATGCCAGGCTTTCTGGAAAGGCCTTGAAGTGTCTCACTGGGGCACAAAGCCCAGAGAAAAACTTCCTTTGAATGGATCCCCAGCGAGGGAGGTCACAGTTACGCTGCTGTGCCCAGACATGGATACACAGAGCACTGGGCTGATGTTAAGGCATCCAGTGGAGGCCAGGGAAGGTGTGGAATTGTGCTTCTCCCAGCAAGGCACTTGGCAGCACCCCAACTTTTTCTCTGCTTATTTCACGGCTGGATTTTTGTTGCTGGCAGCTGTTTCTGAGCTGACACTTCTACCTCCTGTGCCTGAAGTGGGACACATCAGGGACAAGCAGAGGCAGCTCACCAGTCCTCTGCTTCCCATGAGCTGGTGCTTGAGTTCAGCCCTTCCAGCTCTACAGATCCTGTGTTTCCTGCTCTGGCTCTGCCAGGGATGCTGGAAGTGTCCAAGGCCAGGCTGGACGGATTGGAGCAACCTGGGATAGGGGAAGATGTCCCTGCCCACGGTAGGGAGTGGGACAAGACGATCATTAAAATCCCGCCCAGCCCATGCCGCTCTGTGACGGATTATCGAGGGTTTTTCCACGCCCCGGGGGGAGCGGCCGAGGCGAGCGGGGCGGTGCCTGTGGAATCACCTCGGCAGCGCGGCGGTGCCGGCTCCTTTCGTGCCGCGGCCGCCGTGAGGCTCCGGAGCGGCTCAGGCGGGCCTGGGGGCAAGGAGCGGCTCAGGCGGGCCGGGCTCCCTCGCCATGAGGGGCCGCCGCCGCCATGAGGTGAGGGGGGAACGGGGCACGGGTGGCGGCGGCAGCGGGGCTGGAGACCGGGGCTCAGGGGAAGGAAGGCGCCACCTGAAATACTCGCTTTTTCTTATTTAGCTGTTCCTGGTAGCCGGCAAGGGCTGCAGCCCACTGGGGGCTGGTGCCCGGGACTGGGGGGGTTGCTCGGCTGTGCTGTTTAGCGTTAATTCCTCAGCCTCTCACTGGGTGGTGAGTGAGAGGCTGAGCTCAAAAGCCTTCACTCGGCTTTTGTGTTCTGCCATAAGCCAGGCTGCTGCTGTTGAACTTTATGAATACAGATGGACCTGATGGATTATTTGCAATGTTTCTGCTGTCCTCTCTTTAGGCCTTCAGCCGATGGGGGATCGCGGTGACCCGCAGCTGTCGGTGGCCGGCAGCAGCCCTGAGGTGGCCCGACCTTGTCGTGTGTGAAACGCCCAAGCTGTGCTGTTCTGTGCTGGGACAGCCAAGGAGGCTCTCCAGGAGGGCACTTGAACCTGTGGAGAGGCGATGAGAAGGAATAACCTGCCTGTGAGAGACAGGGAGAGCTCTGGAGCCACGCGGGTGAGGTGTGACCATGAGCCAATGAGGGGAAATGGGGAAAAATGTTTTGCTGTCTTGAATTAACTAAAAGGCCTTTGCTGGCTCCTGTGCTAGCCTCAGGTCCTCAGGGTGGCAATAACATTGCTGGTTTATCCAGCAGTTAGGTTTAGCTTATCCCACTTGCTGGATGAAGCCTTGATGATAGTAGGCATCATCAGAGAAGTGCCTCCACATTTTTTCTGCCCTGTAAACCCCCCAGTTTTGGTGGGTTTTTTTCTGCCAGCAGTAGTCAGGTGCCCGTGGCTGCTCAGTGCCTGTGCCAGTGTTATGCTGCTGGGAGAGGAAGGTGCTGCTGAGCTTTCCTGGCACCGGTGGGGCCGTCCTGGTGCTCAGTGGTGCCAGGTTTTGGCAGCACTCTGCATGCCCGAGAGTGGAATAACCCCTGCCCATGGAGTTACAGCCTAGATTGGATGCAGACAACACACAGAAAATGGAAAATTCTGTTGCAGATATTTTAATGTGCATCTTTTATATAAAAATGAATGTCAGTTAATTAACTGGTCAGTGCTAAGGTTTGAATAGGGGTCCTCTTTTCAGCTGTCTTTATTGGGTTTTTATTACAGGTAAATTGTTGGTGTGAGGCTTGCTGGAGCAGCAGGAGTGGTCAGAAGTAAAGCTGTCGATGCTGCTTTGAAGATCCTTGTTTGAAAGGTATTGAGAAGATGGAAACCTGGAGCCCACAGTTTAAATGAGGCAGCTGGAGAAGAATTTGTTTTCAGGATGTGGATGTAGGAATTGGAAACATCAAAGGTGATTTGGGGCAAAGTATAACAAGAATTATGTGTAGAGTTTATTGTTAATCTCCTCTCATTGCTTTTTTGGAAATACATTTTTATATGACCTCAATTAAACGTATTTATATTTAAGCTTGCTCAGTTTGCTTTTCATTATCTTACAAGGCTGTTGGATGCAGCAGAATTTGAGTGAAGACTGGAGAGGCTGTAGTGAGGCACCAGCTCTCATCCCTAGGCCTGGGGGGATGTATGTATTTATATTTAAGCTTGCTCAGTTTGCTTTTCATTATCTTACAAGGCTGTTGGATGTGGCAGGATTTGAGAGTGGAGACTGGAGAGGCTGTAGTGAGGCACCAGCTCTCATCCCTAGGCCTGGGGGGAAATGAGCCCACAAAGGAAGGTTGGAAAAGGCTGATGGATGTGTAAAATACATCAGAACTGGTGGGGAGGGACAGACAGGGCTTCAGACAAAAATGGTATTTAAATGCAAAAGATGGAACAAAAGCAGTATTTTGCTCTCCAAAATGAGATTTGGATCCCTTTGGATTCCTTGCAGTCTTCCAGGAAATCCTGACTTTGTGAAATAATCCAGACTCCTTAAATGCCCCTGGCACTGTTAGTTTAGCCATGAGCCCTTCTGCCACCTGAATATCCAGAGCTTTGAATGCACTTTTTTTGTACTGCACATGGGAATACTTGTTAAAATACTAATCTCTGGGGAATAAAAGTTTTTCCTGGTTGAAGCCTGAGTTCTGTTGTTTCTGTAGGAGCGAATCCCACCTGCAAAACTAATCAGGGGTTTCTCCATGGATTTACGTTGTGTCCAGCAATTTTCCTCTTTCCCAGGGCTGGGTGCCTGCTGCCTGTGTGGTGTGGGGGGGTCCTGCCTGCTGGCAGCCAAGGAACGCTCACTTGTGTCAGGGAGCTCTCCTGCTGGACCAGGTATTCCCAAAAGTGGTAAAAAATGGGGAATATGGGCTTTTGCCGATATCCCAGCCATCCCTGCCCTCTGGCACTGGGAAGCCATTCCCTGTGTCCTGTCCCTCCATCCCCTGGAAATTGTCTCTACTTGTTTCCTGTCAGCTCCTTCAGGTAACATCACCCCAAAGTTTCTCTCCAGGTGAACATTCCTAGCTGTGCCAGGCTTTCCTGCCAGCAGAGCTGCTCCATCCCTCTGCTCATCCTGGAGCCTCCTCTGGCCTGGCTCCAGCAGCTGCAGCTCCTCCCTGTGCTGGGCCAGCTCTGCAGGTGGGGTCCCACCTGAGCACAGAGGCACAGGTGATGCCTCAAGTTTTAGCTTTTATATGTTTCAGATTCTATTCTGCATTAGTGTGTAAGTTTAGGCTTCATATTATGGGATGGTGAGCTATCTTCACACAGCAGGGAGACAAATCCATATAGACCATATTGCCTCAAGGAAAGAACAATAGCCCAACGATTTGTCAATGGTTTGTAGCCCAAATTCTCTTGCCCATCCAGAAGAGACATCCTCATGCTGCCATTAGTGTGTAAGTTTAGGCTTCATATTATGGGATGGTGAGCTATCTTCACACAGCAGGGAGACAAAACAATTCCTTCTCTAGCTGGGGACCAGGGACAAATGATCCAAATCTCAAGCCCAAGAGCACAGGCAACATGGACCAAAGAGAAAAATGAGAAGGATGGGACTGCATAACCTAAAGCTGTAATTGGACACTTAACTCTAATATGCAAATGGACCAGAACTGATAAGTGTGAGACTCTATGACCAGTCTTCTATTTTGTGCCCATTTTGGGTTGTGCTGGCCAAGGTGGATCTATTTGAGGCCTCTTAATAATTTAGCTCCTGTTCTAGGTCAGCCTTCACAAGGCATCACAGTGACAGAATGCCCCCCTCCCCTGCTGGGGCAGACATCCTCATGCTGCAATTTGCATTACATGCGTGATATAGTCATTTGTGCAGAAGCTCAAATTATTTTGGACAATACAGTACAAGATGTCATCACTGCAGTACAGGGGAATGGTTTTGAGACTGCAGAAGATAAAGTCGAAAAGACAGAACCCGGGAAGTGCTGCGGCTTAAAATTGCGGAGAGACTAAAGAGTCTCCAGATCGGGCAATCACACATCACACACCAAGCCCCTTTTGGGAGACTAAAATACAACCCCGTCTGAATCGACACCGACAACGCTGCGGTTTTCGCCCCTGCCCATGCTGGTGAGAAATCAAAAGATGCTATAAAATGTTACTTTTTAGCTTTTTCCGCCTTCCCAGCTCCACAGGAAAATAAAACTGATCATGGTCCTGCTTATACCTCCCACTGATTCCAACCATTTTCTGACCAGTGGGGTACAAAACATGTCACAGCCATACCACACTCTGCCACAGGACAGTCCATAGTGCAGAGGGCCCACTCTTCCATCCAAAGGATCCTTGATCAACAGAGACAGGGAGTCCACATATTATCTCCCATTGAGACACTGGCCAAGGCCCTTGATGTGCTCAACTTTTTCGACACCTCATTTATGGAGCCAACTCCCCCAGTCATCAGGCCTTTTGCATTTCATGTGACTGCAGCCCAGTTAAAAGAAAAGCCACCTGTGTTGAACAAAGACCCTGAATCAAAACAAATCATGGGCCCTTTATCATTCATTACCTGGGGGAGGGGATACGCTTGTGTCTCTACAGCAGCAGGCCCAACATGGATCCCAGCAAAAACATAAAACTCTTCTGCCAATGGCCAGGCAAACACCTGAGCCACCATCAGAAGAACAGAATGAAAGCCTAAGAGAGACAGCAGCAGCCTGGAAAAGAAGAAGAAGAAGGACAGAAGAAGATCTCCTAAGCAGCGTGGACCACACAGACCAACACCAAGATAGCTCAGACACCACTAAGCGGGATATATCACTTAACATTTGGAAAAACTATATTGTAGCATTTATATTTGATTCTTCTAAGAAGCTGAGTTCAAACCCTTGCCTTACAGAAGAGGAAGTTTAGTGGGACCAGAATTTAAGTTTCACATGGGAATCTCCCTATCTCTTTACTTTCAGGCCACCCAAGCCTCCACCCACTACTAAATTAACTAAAGTCAAAGGATGCTGTCCTTTGTTGCCGCTGCAGCAGGCAGCCGCAAGCAGCAAAGCTCCTCACTATGCCACGTGCCTTCAGCTGGCTGCTTCCACAGCCAAGCCACAATTTCTTGCCCATGGCCACGCTTGTCAACCTCTTCTCACATAGGGACTCAGTATACCAGAGCGTCCAGCTGCTCAAAGACCAAATCAACAATGCTGGCCAAGGTGGATCTATTTGAGGCCTCTTAATAATTTAGCTCCTGTTCTAGGTCAGCCTTCACAAGGCATCACAGTGACAGAATGCCCCCCTCCCCTGCTGGGGCTCATTCCAGGGCATGGGGTGGGCTTCTGGGGCATGTCCAGCTTCCAGCTTTGTGCACAACTGGGAAATAAAAAATGGGGATGTCCTGAAAGGTTCTCCAGTGGTCAGCACAAGCACGAGGTCTGCAGCTTGGGGTGTAACCTCTGGCAGGAGGGGGGCAGTCAGCACTGTGCAGCTCCTTCTGCAGCACGAGGCGATCGATGAAGGTCAGGATGATTCACCTTGGCCCTGCTCTGGTGCCTTGAGCACAGGACAGCAAAGGGAATTGGGAGAGAACCCATGAGGTTCAAGACTGGCAGGGAAATAAAGCCAGGAAATGGAGCAGGACCTGCATTTGTACTTTGGAATTGACAATGTGATTTATGGTTCTGTTTAGGAGAACCGCACATTTTGCAATCTATACATGACTTCTGCTAGGCAAAGTGGCTGGATTGCATGACATTTGCTCTGCTTTTACTACTCTGCAGTACCACAGCACAGGAGGATTGTTAACTGAGATTTATGGGCTTGGTTTTGAGCACTTCATTGTTTCTTTGCCTTGAGGTTGTTAAGGGCTGGATTTCTTGTGATTGTTCTCTGAGCATTTCAATATTATTTCAACATGTATATTGTACCACTTACATTTTTTAAAAATACCTTGTGTTATTGTGTCATGGTGCTCTCCAGCCATTTACAGAGAAGGAAAATCAGCCTGTGATGAATTGAAGAGGCAGATTTTTCCTTTCCCCTGGAACTTTCCCTGAATTCATGTGTACACCCTCATCTTCCTAAAGCTGCTGGAGCACAGCAGCTTCCAGGCTAATGGAGAGACCGGTTCTTTAGCCACAAAATCAAACGGGGATGAAAGATGCTGTCTGCGAAATAAATCCAAATTACGAATAGCACTTGAGGGGCTGTACGAGTACTTTGGTGACAACTCATGGATTTCAGGAGGGCAGCAGCACAGGGACCTCTCCTCATCCAGCACAAGGTGGCAATGTTGGATCAGAGGAACAGCACAGCCTTGCACATCGGCTGCAGGGCCTTTTTACCAGAATCTTCTAACGGCCTCACAGGCAGCGAGAGCCCCGAGTTTTGAATATTTTAGCGATGGTAACACCTGCGTTGTGCTGAGGAGAGCGGCCTCGGGCTGGGCGGGGCTGGCTGCCCGTGAGCGTGCCCTGGGACACAGAGAACAGCGTGGGGACCAGAGGATACTGTGGATATCGCGGACACTCTGGATATCCCGGGCACCTTGGATACCCCGGGCACACCCCGGAGCGGCGGTGCCGGCAGTTCCCCTCCCCGGAAGCGGCTGAGGGCAGCCGCGAACCCGCGGCCCCAGGCCCCGCGCTCCTCCCGGGGGGCGTGGCCGCCGCCCCACCCCGCCCCCCGCGCCTTCCCATGTTGCCCCGCGGGAGCGCGGACAATGAGCGGAGCGCGGGCGGCGGGCTGGCGGCGCGCGGTGCAGCGGCGCTCTCGCGAGAGCACGGTGAGCGGCCCCCACCTCTCGCGAGAGCCGTACCGGCTGCGCCTCCTCCCGTCCCCATCCCACATCCCTCACGGCGGGCGGGGCGGGCGGTCCCGGCCAGCGGCGGGAGCGGCGCGGACGCACCGGCGATACCGGAGCCGAGCGGGGCGGCCGCCGCCGGGCACGTGAGCAGGCGGGCAGCGGGCGGGCGTGCTCTCGCGAGCGCGGCGGGGCTCGCGCAGCCGCCTCAGTCCCTCTCTCCCTCCCTCAGTCCCGCTGTCCGTCCGTCCCCTTCCCCCGACAAGGATTTCATCATTCTAATATGCCCATAACCCAGTGTGGCGCGGCCCTGAATCTTCTGTGACATCACAGCTCCCACAGTGTTCCAGGTGGAACGTCCAGCACCT